AAGGCAGCCTTGTTTGCTTACCACATTCGCATGCCTTACAGCTTATAAAAATTCATCTAGTGATGAAAAACCTTACGCAAGCTCTAATTTCTTCATCAGTAACAAAGTTGTATGATTAACATGGCCTAAGCTCCTGTGCCGAAGCTCAACTATATTGTCTAAGCTAGAATAGACGTCCTGCTCCTCCAATAAGTCCAATGTGAACGCCTTGCCCCTCATTTCATCTTGAACAATTTCTGTCTTTCTACATCCTTGATGAGACATTTTATTCTCAAACAGAATTTTGTATCCCTTTTCCAATAGCGAACCAGCACTTAAGAGATTTTGATTAATTTCAGGTACATAAAGAATATTAGTGATTTTTTTATGCTTGAACAACTTTTAATTGCCACTGTTCCCTTTCTTTTGACATCTATGCATTCTCCATTACCAATTCTGACTTTAGAGATAACAGACCTGTCAAGCTTTTGAAAAGCTCCTCATCATATGTCATAAGATTAGTATAACCATTATCAATCAACCAACTTTCACTTGAATTACTGGTGGCAAAACAGGCCACCATAAATAGCTATTCTTCTTCTTGTTGATTTACAACTTATGCCTATGGTTGTTGTGGTTGATTTATGTCCTTACAAATCTTTGCAATGTGGCCTAGTTTTTTTTTTTTTTGGACATCAAGTGTTCTCCAACAATTGAAATGTGGATGACTCCTCCTTTCATAGTGCTGGCATAGAGGATAACTTTGCTTGTTGTTTCCTTCATTGTTGCTATTATTATTTGCAGCATCTTGGTCAGCATAATTTTTCTTTCATTTCTTTTTCTTTCCTTTTCGACCTTCATTTTTCTGCCATTTAGCTTGTAAAGCACCCTCAACTGAGCCTTCCTACCACATGAGTCGTCTTTACCCCTGAGTCTGTAAGGCAGATCCTTAGAATTTTCAGGAAGGAAATTGTCTCAAACCTTTCTGGAATAGTCACAAGAATTTTCTGAATAAATTTGGAATAAAAAAATGTAATTCCAAGCAATCTTACTGTGTAGACAATTTTTAGAAGTCTGTTAGCGTGCTCTTTTATTTTTTCTGACTCTTTCATTTTCTGGATCTCGAATGCCCTGATCAAATTCAGCACTTGCACCCTTTTTGACTCTTTCATCGCCTTCATAATCTTGATTAAGAAAGTCTCAGATGTCCTTTGCTGTTTTTAGGGTCATAATCTTGGTAAAAATTATTGGTGAGATAGCTAAAAATAGGCAAGCCTTTGCCTTTGATTTTCCTTTGTCTTCTTTCATTGTGATTCCTAATTTAAGTAAGAGTTCGGTTTGTTTGGCAAAGGAGAAACTTCGTATTCCTCCTCCATAGCTTCCCAAAGATCATTTGCATCAAGGTAAGCCTGCATTCTAACTGTCCATACTTGAAAATTTTCTCTTTGAAACACTGGAAGAGCAATAGAAGTGAAAGATGTCTCAGAATCCATTGTGGCTGAAAGGTTTTTGCGTAACAGGTTTGGTTTGGTTTTTGAGTGTGGTTTACCTCAATTCTCACGGTCCCTTAAGAAAAAATAGCTTTGATACCAATTGTTTGACTATACTCACAAAGATAAACTAAAATTTTTTACAAAAAACTGAGGAAGAAGAACTCAAGGATAGGCTGCAAATCTGAATGTCTATTATTGAACCAAACAACTATTTAAATACAGAAATTGAGAGAAAACTACTACCCTCTAAGCCACTAATCAGCAGATCATCCTAAGTTGCTACAACTAACCATTTGCACTCCTAATTTGCTACAATTAACAACGTGTAGTAGAAAAATAAAAAAACAGTAAAACATGTACAGCCATGATTCTGTTCAGGTCTGCAACCAAGATTGCTTGCCATCTCATCAGCTTCTGCACATTCAGCAGCCATAAGCTGTTATGGCACATCTGTAACAATTATGTACTTACAATATTGTAATAGGACAACTAGGTGGCGATGATTTTATACGTCCTACAATTTCAAAGAAAAATATAAATAAAGAGGTTCGATTATATAACTACAATATTGGCGAAAGAGGAGCTTTTCTAGCTCTTCCTGAAGGCATGCAAAAACTGGTGATTGCTAAATGCCACGATGCTAGAAACTTATGCGATCCACAAGGAACTGGATTGAACTTTCTTTTAATTTGTGAGTGCGATGGTGTAGAGTATAGATTGCTCGCTCTCATTGTCCAGATTTTTCATTGATACTTAAAAGCCTTGAAACTCTTCATCTTTATGCGTTGAAGAACTTACTTGTCCTCTTTGGCAAAGAAAGAGCCACATTACGACCTTTGCCATACCTTTTCCTATCTTAGAACATTTGAGGTGTTTGATTGTTCAAGTATAAAAAAGTTGTTTCCCCTCTAGCTTGATATGGAACCTCAGAAACCTGGAAGTGATTGAAGTTGAATTTTGTGCCAAAATGGAGGAGATAATAGCAGCCGAAAAAGAAAATAAAGGGGGTATTAGATGGATGAAGAAAGAAACAGCAACAATCGTTACATTGATGCCATTACGGCATCTAGTCTGTCAAATTACGGCTACTAAAATTAAGAGATTTAGTGAAGTTGAAAAGCATTCATAGTGGGCTAATGATTTGTGATTCTCTCCAAGAACTCGATGTTGTTTACTGCTTGAAGCTGAAGACGATACCATTATTCGAAAATGGCCTACCATCTATTAAAAAAATCCAGCCGTATCCAAAAGAATGGTGGGAAACAGTGGAATGGGACCAGCGCATTGGTAAGAATTCCCTTCAACACCCTGATGTTGTTTGAGTGAGAGGTTACCTAAAATGCTTTGCCAATGGTTAACCCCTCTTTCACTCCATCTCTCTGGCTTTAATCTTTAACGCTCCCATTATTAATTTGTATATTTCAGTCATGAGTTGATTTTTTGCTTTTTACTTGTTATTCCTTGGTTTCTATACTGATTCTATGTTTCTTTTTGTGCCCCTTTTGGACCGGCTAGGAGTCATGCTTCTTGAAATGCTTTGAGAGGAATACTAAGAATTCTTTTCGAATGCAAGGTCCCTAGTCAATAGTTGCTCTAAATATGCTATGTGCTTGGTGTGTGTATATATATATAGTGTGTGCGTGCGCGCGGGCTTGTTGCTTTTATTCACTCTAGTAAGCAAGCCAAGAGCTCATGGACCAAGCACTAAACTAGAAGACGATGACAAATAGCATCAATTTGTTGCCTAGTCAATGGTAACTTTTCACAGGGGGATTCCTTTAATCCGCGTTTTCCCGTTCTTATGATCTTTGTTTAATTTACTTTTTTCTATTGAATTATATCGGAAAAGATGTGTCTTTGCGCTTCATTTTTGAACTTATGAATTCTTCCACTTTTAACTCATGAAGGCTAATGGAATTGTAATGTAAACAATACCATATTATCTGTTGCCAATACCACGACTTGAACTTCATCATTCTCTTTCTTGCTCAATTTTACCCATGTACTTGCTATTGCTTAGTTCTACCTAATACATCTGGGATACCCGCGCCAACTCGTGAGAGAACTATGGTCTATTTGGAAAAAAGTCAGATGGACAAAGTTCACCCAAATGACCTGTCCCTACTTTCTACCAATGAAAAAAATAGAAAGTACACTCATTAATAATGACATAATTTTAAGGTTATTTTTATTCAATTGACAATAACAACAACACTATAATGTTTGTTCAATATAGATTTAATAATATCAAAAATACTTATTTCCTAATTAGAATTAGAAGTTGATGGCAAATGGATAGACGATTTTGCTTTCATCTCTATGCAATTTGACAAGTCTCATTGCTATATAAACAATTATGAAATCTAGGATAATGGATTGGATTTTCTTCCTGGAAACCACTCTCTCCCAATACTATCACTATCCATCATTTCTTTTATACTTATATTATTGTCTTTTCAAACTACCATTTCTCCTTATATACTTAGTCATTAGAATATCTTCTATCGAACTAAAAAGGTTTGTTTTACAAGTATTTCAGCCATAATCATTGCCATTAACCAACACGCGCCATCATTACACCATCTAGAAAACAACCATCTCATTCTCTAAAGTTTTACAACCTCATCCCTTCTTTCCTCTCTAGTCTTTGTTGTTGCTTTTTTGAGTTCAGGCTCGGTTTTATAATTTTATAATATATTTATCTGTGGTATAATAAATAATATTCCTAATAAGTCAACATATTAATAGTGTGAATACAAAACATGAAAATTATAAAAATATAGCTATTTAATTACCCAATTCGAGGTGAGTTGTGAGGCAGCAGGGTGGATGCGAGTTAAAAATCTCCCCTGCCTAGTCTTCCAAAATAGGGTTCCATCGAAGTGTTTTCTTGGCGGAAAATGATTAATACATTAATGAAATGTATTGAAAAGATAACGAATAGAGACAATAAATAAAGAAAAAATAAAATGAAAACTGCTTGAAGTTACCAACCATTTATTGGCATGTCAAAACACAGCAATGCAGAGTTAAGAAGTCCAGCTGCTCCATTACTGCAATATCAGCAAAGGAGGAGATCTCCGCTATCTCCTAAAGGAATTGAAGAACTGATGATTGTAAAATGCCACGATGTGAAAACCTTATGTGATGTTCGTGTATCAGAAAATGCAACGCTGTTCCTTTGCTACCAGCATTAATTTTTTATTTTTTTCGAGATCGATTCTATTAGTAAATTAGCTCCTCTGAGAGGCTGCAGCTAGCATCAAGAGGCTACACATAAAAGCAGATTATATTGCATAGGAGATTGACAGAAGAAGGTTATATTGCATTTCATCATCACTTATTAGGAATCTACAAAAGGATCATACTCTGCCTGAAGAGAAAATTGAAAACCAGATCAAAGTCCCTAGACTAATTTGTTCTTTACCGTTTGCTAAAACAGGAAAGAAGGAAAAAAAACACAGAGAAGGATCATTGTTTGCACCAAAATCAGAAGCTTGACATACCAAAATTCCATCTTCTACACAATCAGTCGTCAATACCATCGAAAAAGTTTCCATCAGTAATAGTAGCAGAAGCATCATTGTTTGCACCAGAAATCACATTATTAATAGTTTCCAATTCAATCTCCAACTTAAAGTTCTTTTCCTTCTCAATGTCCAACTCCTCCAGCAGATTCTCAATCCTTTGCACCATTTGTTCCTCTCCATCAGCTTCCCCACCGAATTGAACAATCAGATTTACTAATACCCTTTTCTGCTCTTCCAAACTCCTCTTTAATGTCACTAAACCATCTAACATTTTATTTCGATCAAAGCCATTAACAAGTCCTTCTATTCTACTCATGTTCGCGTCCGGAATAATGGTTTCACCTCCAAAACGAACCATCTTCACAACTTCATCATCTTCTGAGTCATTATGGAATACTGGGTCAAGCACGAATTCATCCTCAATAAATTTCCAGCCACTGATCCTTATAGCATTCACACTTGGACCCACTGAGTCGGTACCCTTTTCTTCTTCTTCAATATCAGTACCACCAATAATATGGCTTGACGACGTCCCATCATTTAAAGCCTTGACTTTTTTGAATCTTTCTTCAACATTAGGCAACCCATCGAAAACCTTCTTGAACAAAAAGTCTAATCCTTTACAGTTCTTGAAGAAAGAATACTCTGAAAGCTGATCAACAGAAGGTCTCTTTGAAGGGTCTTGATTAAGACAAGAAGTAACCATATCTTTAAACTCTTTAGAGAAGTTTTTGTTCTTGAAATCTTTCTTGTGCTTCTCATCATCATAATAAGAGAACCCAAACCTCTTCTTTATCTTCATGATCAAAGACTTTGAAGGAGGAAGGTGAGTGACAGGAGGTCGACCATGGGCTAATTCCAATGCAGTAATACCAAAAGACCATATATCAGCCTTGAAACTATAACCTGTATCTGAGTCATGTATAACCTCTGGTGCCATCCAATATGGGGTCCCTTCAACATCAGTTAATCTCATTCTTGACGAGGAAGACAATGAGGATGATCCCACAATGCTACTTGAGTCGTAAATCAAGGCCGATTTGCCATAATCTGCAAGATTTATGCTGCAATTATCTGTGTCTACAAGAATGTTGCCTGCCTTGATATCTGTGTGTAAATGGCCTCGATCATGGAGATAATACAATCCCTTTAGGATTTCATTGAGAACTATAGCAATGCATGGCTCTGGTAGGCCTTCAGGGAAGCAAGAACAGATTATGGATTGGAGAGAACCACCAGCCATGTAAGGCATAACCAGCCAAAGATAGTGATCAACAACGAAAGAACAATGGGATGGAAGAACGTTAGGGTGTGAATGAAGTGACATGGTTGTGCTTTCACTTCGGAGACTATCTAAATCGATTGGAGATTGTTCAAGTTCAAGATCAATGATTTTGATTGCAACCAAACTTGACTCCTCCTGGCTGTGGACACATGATGCTTTGTGAACTGTGGCACTAGCACCACCACCAATCTCTTCCAAGATTCTGTATGCATCTGGGTCTTTTGGGTAATATTGATGTTGAACCCTTGTGGATTCTTGGTCTAGTTCATCAGCCATGGATAAAGCTGACGTTGGTTTGATCTTGATCTTGAATGGTTTTAATTCGAGAGAATTTTGTTGGTTTCTTGAATTGGGTATGGAGTTTTAGGGAGGTTTTCTTGATAACGAGGAGGGTATTTTCTAGTGAAGTCTCAGGTTTGAAAGGAAGAGAGAGCGGTGATTTATCCTTGAGAAATAAGCGCGAGATGATGCATGGCAGAGCATGGGAAGTAGAGGACTGCTTTTTATATGGAAGGGAGGGAATTAACAGAGGGGCCGGCCTGTTCAGTTTGAGGGATTTCTGTAAGCCTGTAAGACGCAACTCCAATCCTGAAAACGAAACAGAAAACTAATTCAAAAGTGATTAGTGGGCTTTCCTAACCCAAAGTTTAGGATTGGGAGAAGGGAGCTCATTTATGCCATTTGGTCAAGAATGGATTGCAAAGTGATTCCACCTCCCAACATAAATTTCTAATTCAAAAATATAATAGTTTTTTTATAGCATTATTCTAAAATTTAAAAAATAATATAATCATTTTAATCCTATATTGTAGATCTATCAAAATATATCTAAAAAAACCATTCAATTTTATGATTTTTTTAAATCAAAATTTTACATTTGACTCATTATTTATTATTTTTCATTATTTTCTACTAAAAAGAATGATTTATTCTTTTTTTTTTTTTTGGGATTCTTAACAAAAACAAACTTATAATACTAATAAAAAAAATTAAAACCCATGGATTCTTAACTAAAAACTTATTTTGTAAATTTAATCTAAAGATTAAAAGTATTTTTTAGATAATTTATCTCAGATTTTTTTTTCGTTTCAAAAATAATTTACACATATATAATATATATATATATATATATATATATATATGATCTTGCTACTATGATTTATAAATTCTAACAATTTGTTATATAAATTTTATCAAATTTTTTTTTAAGGAAAAAACTATTATATTCTAAAATTTTATTCAAAAATCCATTTGCATAGAAAAATAAACCATATTTTTCAGTAAATAAAATGTAAACAAAAAAATTAATTGGATGACAATCTCCATAAAAAATGATAAAGTAAAAGAATAAATTTTATATATATATATATATATATATATATATATATATATATATATATATTTCTCTCCAAGTTATGTGTAAATCCAAAAAATAACAATTGATACTTCGTAATATTCGTCCAAAAATCTATAATAAAAAATAAATAAATTATTGAAAAAAAAAAAACTGAGTTGGGGCGAGGCCTGTGCTTTTGGGCTTGGCAAACCAGTCCTGCACGATCTTGCTCTAAAAAAATGAAAGAAACAAAACGGATGACGTGTTTTCCGCTTGTTGCACAGCAAATGAAGTGTGGTCCGTTTGCAAGTTTCAGCAAACTAAATTAGCTAGAAACATCACCCAAAAAATGGGTTTTTAATTTCCAGCCTCCCCAAAGCCAAATTAAACACTATTTTTGTCAAAAAAAAAAAAAAAAAAAACAACTCAAAATCATATAAATAACATCAAGAAACTCGTTTAAAACCTTAAGACCTATTTTAATGCACGCAAAGCATGCAAAAATTTAATTTAAATTAAAAAAACTTAAAATATTTTTAGATCGCAATCTACATCCTTTAACCATTTCATAGTTTTCGATCATCACAAACATATTCTATTCTTCAAGACGAATAAATTAATGGTGAGTTCGACAATCGAAGTGGCTAGAATAGTCCTTGTCGTCCCCCACCCCCCACCCACCCACCATTCTCTCTCTTTGTTTTCCTTTCCTCTACGTAGTTAGGGAGAAATTTACAATACAAATGAAGTTTAGAATCGATTTTTTTTTTTTTTTTTTTGAAAAAATAAGGAACCAAAGTGCAAAAAAGCCAATAAAAAGTGGAAATTAACACTAAAATTGAGTGTGGGGAACAATGCACGTGTATGTTGAGATATAAGAAAACACACTTGAATGTGTATAGTGATCTATCATTTTCTTTTAGTGTTTTAGTTAACTAGTTGGATATCACATTACGCTGTGATTGAACAACCGTTATATGCGTAAGGTCAACAATTCATATGGTTTAGTACAAGTAAAAATCTTATTTCTCGTAATTAATATAAACCAAATCTATTTGGTGAGAAAAATCAATTGATTTATATATATTTATTAACAAAATAAGAAATAATATTAGTATAAAAAGTTGTATTTGAATAATTGAAATGTTCTTTCAAAACATTATTTCAATTATTTTGTTTAAAAAATATTGATTTTAGAACATAAAAAGGAATAAATAACAAAAAATTAGTGTTATGTGTGAATATATATATATATATATATATATATATATATATATATATATATATATAATCATACTTAGTATATTCGAGTATATAGTATAAAAAAAAATCCATCTAAGTTGTATGGAATATATTAAAATCAATAAATTAAAATAAAAACTACTACAAAATTGGTTTCTATAAATTTTACTTCTTAATTTATGATGAAAGAGATTCTTGAATTATAAATTAAATTATAAATTAGGTCTTCACATTTTGAAAAAATGAATTAATTAATTCTTTTGGTTTTAAAAATTAATTTTTTAATTTTTTAATCGAGTATTGACCACGAATAATTTATTTTTTATTTTAAAAAATGTATTTTTCATATTTTCACTTATTTTTTATTTTTTCTCTATTTCTTGAAATAAAAATAAAAACATTAAACTAGCAAAAGGATCAACATATCCGATGAAATATATATAATTGGTTCCCATAAGTTTTACTCGAATCTATGATGAAAAAGATTCTTGAATTACATATTAAATTATAAATTAGTTCATCTCATTTTGAGAAATGAATTAATTAATTCTTTTGGTTTCAAAAATAAATTATTTAATTTTTTTAATCAGTCTTGATCACGAATAATTTATTTTTTTATTTTACAAAATATCTTTTTTTCATATTTTTACTTTTTGTTTATTCTTTCTCTATTTCTTAAAACAAAAAAAAATAAAAACATTGAAATAACAAAAAGGACAAAAAAAATAGTTTTTGAACCAAAGGAACTAATTAATTTGTTTATGAAAGAAAGAGGGACTAATTTATATTCACTTTTGAACAATAAGTGGCTTTGGCTTCCTTGTCGAAAATAAGAAGAAGAAAAAATCATTGAAAGAAAAAGAGCATTAAATGCTCGATCCGAAAGAAAAAAATGACCGGAAAAGGCCTAAAAATAAAATTAAAAGGAGAACCAATCAAGGGTAAAGATAAAATTTCTCAAATCTATTGAGTGGCAAAAGATAAATTAACGAAAAGCTACGGGGTGAAAAATCAAGCAATACAATAGATAGTGAATCTAAGTCTAAAACAAAAGTAAATAAATAGTAAATATATCAATTCTTTTAATTTTTTTCTACTAATATACATTAAATTGAAAACAAAAGATAAAAATTGTATTTAATTTATTTTTAATCAAATTTATATTTCATTCGTTCTTCTTTATATTTTTCATAGATTTTGTTGTTAAAAAACATGATTCATTTTTTTTATTCATTCGTTCTTAAATAAAAACCTACAATAATATAAATGTAAAATTTTATAAAATATGGTAATATTTTTTTTCATAAGACTACATTGGAGAAATATATCAACAATCAATATAAAAATTAACTAATGAATCTTCTTAAACTTTTTAAAAATATGTACACTTGATACACACACACACACAAAACAATCAATAATATTAGGTATAAAAACATGTATTTGAATTATTGTGTGGTTATTTTAAATAATTATTTTTAAAATAAATTAAATTTAGAATACTAAAAATAATTAATAGAAAATATTTGGTATTATATATATATATATATATATATATATATATATATATTTTGTATACATCATTACCATACTCTATACAAATAAAAAAAATATATGTTTAAAAAAAATTTAAGTTGTACGAAATATATTAAAGTTAACAAAGTACAATAAAAAATAATTTAAAATTTTATTCCAAAACAATTGATTTTATCAAGAATAAGCTAAAGAAACAAGTGAATTCTATTATTTATTAAAAAAAACATATTGAAAATTCACACATAGAGAAAGAAAGATAAATCATATTTGTTAACAAATAAAATTTCATAAAAAATAAAAATTTTAATCTGATGAGAATTTTATAATAAACGACAAATTTAAGAGATTAATTTTAACCAATAAAAAATATAAACCGATATATATATATATTCAAAAATTTAAAAGCACAAGAGGCCAAAAATATTTTTTTAAAATATGAGGAACGAGAAAATATATTTTGAAAAAATATGAGACGAAAATGGACCAAGCTAAAAACATGAGATATCAAAATATTTTAAAAAATATGAGGATTTAAAAATAAAATTTTCAAACATAAGGGACTAAAAAAAATGAAGTGTAAAATTTAAAAATGGATGCTCAAAAAATCTATAAAAAATTACGAAAATACCATTGTAAAATATCATAAAAATGTCACTTTTTGAACCCACTCTTTGAACAATAAATGAATAGTGATTTGAGTCAAATAAATAGTAATTTCTTCGGAAACAATAAATGAATAATGATTTACTGTTTATTTGTTCAGCTAGGTAAAACTGTATTCCCTACTCCTTTTTTTCCAATATAAGCACATAGATGTTGCATTACTTTTACTGTCTCCTTAATTCCTATATTCAAGTTGTTATTCTTTTCCACTATGTTTTTAGTACCGGTAAAATGTTATAACTGATGAAGAATAGTGGGAACCATGAAAAATAATTTAGGAAATAAGATTATGTAAAATAATTGATACAACCCTAATTTGTATTTGCAATGTTATACGTGTCAGAATATAGAATCAATGTGTAGTTTCACATATTGGGAAGAAAATATACAAGATTTGGAAAGTATTGGACACAAAATGTAATCGAATTCAAAGTTGAAACTGCGATGGGTTTTTGTAATTTCGAATAAATTGTAGAGAGAATGTGCAAATACATGTTTTGGGACTTCTGATGGTGAAGATCAAGAAAATACATGAAGAGTATGTTGTCCTTTTTCTTGGCATGTTTTATTTCTGGAAACAACCTGCTATCTTCCATGATAGGTTCTATGGCACCTGATGAACAATTATTTAACAAAAACTAGTTAAAGTTATAAAAAAAAAAAAAAAAAATTAATGTCTTTTCTTCGAATCAGAATAAGTTCCATTCTTAACTAATTTTTCTCGATTTTTTTTTTTTTTTCATATGATGGTAGGAAAAAAAGAGGAAATGGTCAAACAGAATGATCAATTTTGGGATTATGAGGAGAAGTTGGATTATGGTTCTTTCAAGTGTGCGTTTTGCGGCTATATATCTGTTGCCGGTACATCCATTTCAAGGATCAAATGGCATTTGCCAGGAGTTAAAAGGGCCTGACGTTAGAATTTGCCAAAAAGTGCCTAAAGATGTTCAAGGAGCTAGCAGCCTATCTTTGCTATTCAAGTGCAATTAAAAAGCTTTAGACCATGTCAAGTGCAAGCAATAATTTTTTCAAGGGAATCAAGCAAAGAGGTTGAAAATCTTCCAAAAGATGTTGGAAGGATACAAATGGAAGTTCAGAGCATGGAGCATGGTGCTGGGGGATTGGGAATTTTTTCATGTATTGAAGCAGAACATGTCATTTCACAACCCAAATTTTTGGTTATATATTTTTCTCTTATTTTATCTTTTTTGGTTTTTATTTTTATTTTACCTTTTTTATTATTCGATTTTATTTATTATTTTAGCTATTCCTTATTTTTATTTTATTTTATTTTATTACTTACTAACCACAAAAAATGAAATCAAAAATGCAAAAAAAAAAAAACATAAAAATATAAAATTGAGGGATATGTTTAATCAAGGGCATAATTACATTAAATTGCAGCTTGAAATTGGAGGCTAATAGGGGTCAAATAAAACAAAAATAAGATGAATTAAGGACATAATTGTAAGGAATAAGAGGATACGATTGAAAAACATTAGGTAGTTGAGGGACTGAGTTGGTAAATTATCATTTGAGACTGTGAATGTTCGTTCACTGTCTCGTTCATTTCAAAACCAGAAATGGCATTTATTTCACCTAGTTTTCCAATGGATTTTGATCCTCAGCCAACTCACATGTCCTTCTCCTTTGCTTGGTCCTCAAGTCGTGCTACAACAAATGAAGACGTTAGAAAACAATAACAGAATCAAGAGGAGGAGGTTTTGATTGAACGGTTTGAAATAAAAGAAAGAAATAGAGAATTGATTTTGATAGCAGGAAAAGATGTATACATAGGACAAGATTTTGGAGGATTTTGAAGAAAGGGGGGGGGGGGGATCAAAGAAAAAAATAAAGAAAAAGAAAGAGGGAAGAGAGAGGAATCTGGGTTTCTTGAATTTTTGTTTTTTTTTTCAATTTCTGGATTGTTCTTCAAGTTTTCTGGGTTTTCTTGAATTTTTGGGTTGTTCTTTCAAGTTTTCTGGGTTTCAAGAACATCAACAATCATGCTCTTCAAGTGTCTATTCAATCCATAATCTTTCCACCTCTAATTCAATGTGTTTTCTAAACCTTTCTCAACATATAAAACCAACCACAATCTGTTCAATCATTAATCCATATTTTTCAGTTAGCAGCCAGTGTATTATAACTCAATTCTAGGCATTCAACACCAACAGTAGGTTTCCTAGCTTCCAACAAACCATACAGAAACCTCACCATCAGTAACCAAACCTGCAAACAACATCCATCCCTTTCAGGCACCCAGGTCAGTTTCTTTTTATTTTCTTAATTTCATTATATATTATTGTTTTGTCATTCATTTTCCTATTATTAGAGTTTTGAATCCTAAGTTCATAAGAAGACTCAGACTAGGGACGAGTAAATTAGCTCCTTGCAGTAAGCCTTAGTCCTAAACCTTGCTTCTGGTGTTCTTGCAAGAACGAGAGGAGAAGTACAGAGAAGGAAAAAGAAAGAACAGAAAAAGAAAAGAAAGGAAAAGAGCGTCGAGCTCAACCTGGCCCGAGAGGGAAAAAAAAAAAAGGAAAGGAAAAGGCTGGGCTAGGTCTAGCTAAGCTCGAAAAAAAAAGAAAGAAAAAAGGAAGAAGCTATTCTGCGTCTACCTAGCTTCAAAAAGAAAAGAAAGAAAAGAAGGAGCAGGGCTGGGCTGAGGAAAAAGGTTGGCCTGTGGGGCTTGCCCTGTGGGCTTCCAATGGGCCCAAAAGGCCTAAAACCTTATTTTTAGCCATTTGCCTAGGTAAATAAGTTCCAAATTTTTACACTTGCCTTTGCCTTTTATTTTATGCCTAATTCAGATTTAATATTTTTGAATTTTTGAGTTTCTTACATTTATTTAGTTTTTAGTCAACTTCTAGTTTTTAAGTTTTATTTCGATAATTATATTAAACAATTAATAAGTAAACGAGTCATCGAGTCTCTTAATTTTTAAGAATCGATAACGACTCTCCACCAACAAAAAAAAAAAATGATAAAATGAGAAAGAAAATGATAAAAGAAAAAGAGAGAAAAAAAAAAGAAGGAAAAAAAGAAGAGAAGTTAGATAAAAATAAAGGTTTAATTGCATCAAAGACCCTCTACTTTGACATTTTCTTAATATGGCCCTTGTATTTTTTTTATTCAACTCCTCCTTGTACTCTTCAATTTTTCTTAATGTGATCCCTCCAATCGTTATATTGTCAATTTTTCGTTTAAAGTTGACGGATGGCAAAAAAAAAAAAAAAAAAAAGCCATGTGGCATGCCATGTTAGATCGATTCACCACGTGACAAAAAATTTTAAAAAATTAAAAAGTTGAAAAAAAATAAAAAGAAAAGCAAAATGCTACATACCTATACATTCATTTTTATTATACATTAAATTTTTTGCATCCCTTATCCGCAAACGGACATTTCGTCAAATAACTTTTTTACATCTTCTTTCTACCGTACATTTCATCAAACAACTTCTCTACATCCTTAATTATTTGTTCCATGCACAATCCACCAATCAAAACTTTGTAAACAAACATATTATAACAATTTTTTTTAATAAGAATAGAAATTAGTCTTAGAAAGGGCATCGGACCTTAACTTCCACCCAATTAATACAATCGGCTCTAATGTTAGCATGTCTCACCAAAAAATGAGTAGCTCTACTCGCTAGAACAAGATCAAGGATAATGTACCGATAAATAAATGTAATGAGAATAGCACAAATATCCTTATAAATCATAGAGATAGCAAGAAAGCTTCCAATGTACGAGCTTTGATTACATTGTATGTATCACTTGAATCAAATTCAAAGATTAAATCTAGAAAACCACAATCTATAGAAAAAACCAAATCCTCCTTCGAGAGAATAAGCCACGATACTTACTAGATCCAAGAAAGATGCTTTTGTGAAGAGACCTTCCTGCCATAAGTTCATATTCCCCTATGTACCAAATGTAGACACAAACTAAAGCATGATAGATACTTCTCAAAGTGAAGATGCCTTCGAATTAGGAGCCAAGACCAATTTATCTTCCCGACATTGTGTGCTTAACGGGCTTTGACAAATTATATTAGCTTTATGTAGTAAGAAAATGGATCTAATCAAATGTTAAGAAGAGTAAAAAAACGAGAGAGGGAAAATAGAGAGGGAAAACAATTCAAATACTAAATGAATTTATTGTATTGTCTCTCTTGATAGTTTACAAGTTGATATATATATGTGCCAAGAGATAACACGTGTAAGTCATTTCAATAATCGACTAACAACATTTATTAATAAACTAACTAATCAACTAATAATCTTAATATTCCCCCTCAAGTTGGTGGTTTATGGATATCATAAAGTCCCAACTTGGAGAGAAGAAAATGATGTTATTGACGTCCAAATGCCTTGGTGAAAATATCCGTAAGTTGTTGAGTGGTGCCAACATGAAATGTTTTGATCAAGCCCGACTTTAGCTTCTCTCTCACGAGATGACAATCAATATCTAGATGCTTAGTCCTCTCATGGAAGAATGGATTGGAGGCTATGTGCAAAACAGACCTTGTTGTCACAATAAAGCTCTACCGCACCTAAGTTTATCATCCCAAGTCCTTGTAACAAATCCACAAGCCATACAACTTCACATGTGGCAGTGGCCATGGCACGATACTCAGCCTCCGTAGAGGACCAAGAGACGAGTGTTCCGTTTTTTTTTCAGGAAAACAAGGATGAACCAAGGAAGACACAAAAACCGAGTAAGGGATTTACGTGATATGGGACAAGAGGCCCAATCCGAATCACAAAACACACGTAATTATAATTGATGAGAAGATGATGATAGTAATATCCCCAAACCAGTGGCTGCCCTTAAGGTATCTAAGAACCCTAACAACGAAAAGCCATATGGGAGGCTTTAGGCCGATGCATAAACCGACTAAGGATCCGAATGGCATAACAAATGTCGAGTCTAGTGACGAGTAAGATAGATCAACTTCCCCACCAGCCTCCGATATTCCGTAGGATCAAAAAGAAGAGGATCGAAAACATCGATAGCTACCGATTGATCATATTCAACAGTGGTTAACTTGATATTTTGCTCAAGATGCATTTCTACCTGGTTTAACAATAAGTAAACCAAGCATCATGCAAAATTTCCACAAGTATACTTCCTTTGATTAAGACATATACCCTTTGTAGACCTTGCAATCTATATCCTCAAAAAATATTTTAAGGGACCAAGGTCTTTAATATAAACGGTATGATGTAAAAATAGTTTTAAGTCATGGATTTCATCTTCATCATCACCGAGTGATTAAGATATCATCAACATAAACCAATAACACCACAATTTTACCCCGTCGCTTCTTAATGAACATGGAGTAATCATAATGAGACTAAAAAAACCTACAACCAACATTTTTTTCCAATAAACTTTGAATTCCATTATTGAGAGGCTTGCTTCGAGTCGTAGAGGGACTTAAGTAATCTACATACTAAGCCCTCCTCCTAGTTGCCAAAACCAAGTGACAAAGACATATAAACTTCCTCATGAAGGTCACCTTACAAAAAGGCATTGGTCATATCTAATTGATGTAAAGACCAAGCATGAACAAGCAGCCAAAGCAAGAATAGTTCTAATAGTGACCATCTTCACAACGAGAGAAAAAGTGTCACTATAATCAATCCCTTCTTGTTGGGTATACCCCTTAGTTACTAGTCTAGCTTTATACCTTTCCACAATCCCATCTAGATTGAACTTAACCTTGTACACCCATTTATAATCTATAGGATGCTTACCAAGTAGGCAAGGGAACTAAGGTCCATGTTTTATTAAATTCAAAAGCTCGAAGTTCCTTATTCATAGCATCAATCCACTCGATGATTTTTAATAGCTTCAATATAAGAAGCAGTGCTCACGAATGAAAGAAATGGATGAAATAAAATTGGAATGAAAAGTAGATAAAGAATCATAAGAAAGATAAGTATGAATAGGATAGGAGACAAGTGGAAGAATAACTAAGGTTGGAATGTAAGGAGTAGTCCGAATGCCAAGAAGGAGGTTTTAAAACTCGAGTGGACCTACGTAAAGAAAGTGAGAAAGTGGTATAACTAATGTAGAAGGGGAAGATAGAATGAAAAAGGATGAATCACGTACCGAAAGTGGTCCAATAGGAGAAGAAGCAATTGATGGGATCTCGCTCGTAGGTAAGGGAAGAGGATTTGAAGCCGAGATACGAGATAAAGGATGAGAGGAATTAGGAAGATCATCATCATCATAATTCCATTGAGACACAGGATTAGAGGTAGGTATTTTGGCAAAAGAGGACTCTTAAAAAGAAGGATGAAATGGGAAAATTGTTTCATGAAACAAGACATCCCTTAAGAGAAATACCTTATGAGTGTCTAATACTAATAGTTTGTATCCTTTTTTAGAGTAAGGATAGCCGAGGAATGCACAAGCAATAGATCTAGGGGTAAATTTATCCATACAAAGTAAGATCTTTGCATAACATAAGTAACCAAAGACTCTAAAGTGAGAGTAAGCGTGGGATTTATGAAACAAAATGTTGAAAGGGGTTTTTCCATGTATAAGTGGTGTAGAAGTCCTATTGATGATATATGTGGAGGTTAAAATGCAATCACCTTAGTATTGGATGGGAATATAAGATTAAAACATTAGTGCTCTAGCAATAGCAAGGATATGCCTATGTTTTCTTTCAACTACTCCATTTTATTGAGGAGTATAGGGGATAGTAGTTTCATGCAAAATGCCTTGAGAAGAAAAAAAAGTTTGACAAGCATTCGAAAAAATTCGGACCCTTTATCGGATCCGACCCTTCGGACAATACTAGAGAATTGAGTATGAACAAGAGCAAAGAATTGTTAAAGTAACCGAAGTACTTAAGATTTATTTTGCATGAGAAAAGTCTAAGTTACTCCGGAGAAGTCATCAACAATGGACAAAAAAACCTTTCTCGACAAGTAAGTGGTGTGTTTATATGGACCTCGTATATCCACATGAATGAGTTCAAGTGGGGAATGAGTAACGTAATTGCTAGGAGGAAATGGTAGTCTAGCATGCTTAGCCAAATGACATATATCATAAAAAAAATCATGAGTAGATGGCATGTTAAGTGTGGGAAGTAATTTGAGACGTGACAATGAGATATGACCAAAGTGCTTATGCCAAAGATCAACATCGAATGAGACGTTTTATTGCTAGTAGCAAGTATTACAAAGAAATTGAGATGATTTGGAAACAAGTAGAGCTAATTACGTAATTCAATTTTGAAGAATCGATAGATGAACTAGCATGACACCCGTTCTAAGTGGGTAACCGAGATGTGCAAAAGCTATTTAGCAAAACATGGTATAGACCATTGCTAGCTTTACCCAATCCCCTTTTTTCTTTCCAATCCATAGGTCTTGAAACGTACAAAGGTCGTGGTAAAAACTTGCATAACAATGATTATCAATAGTGAACTTAACTACCGATAAGAGATTAAATTAGAAAGTTGGTAAGTACAAGACATGTCGAAGAATAAAGTTTGGAAGCAACACAGAGCCTACACGAGTAACTAAAGCTACCGCACCATTAGGTAATCGAACAATGAGATTGGATGCTAATTTAATAGGGTTAATCGGATAATTAGATCTACCAATCATATGAACATTAGCCCATATATCTACCTGCAGGATCAACATTAAGTAAGTTACAAAAGTAAGTACCTACCATGTTAGCAATGGGTGGCACATAAAGAATACCCTTATCCGAATCTCTCGGATAGTAAATTCAATATCCGCCGATATTGATAAGGAGAGAAAGTTGGTGTGAATCCCTTATTGTTTGAAACATTCTCCTCTCGTAACTAAACTCGATGAAGCTCCCGGTAGATTGACGAGTCTCTCCAATGCAATTCGCATTATGAGCATTGAATGTTCTCTCGTCTATCCCCAACATTAGTATGGCCATTTTTACGACCTCTCGCTAATGCCAAATGGTTTTCTAAGAGCGAGGAGGATAGCCATGAAGTTTGTAACAACTATCTTTCATATGTCCCGATAGGTGACAATAGTCACATATAATGTCCCTTCGATACTCGCTTTGTTGAAGTCCGGCTTCTATTAGAATAAAAGGTAGTAGGTGCATTTGGAATCGAGCCGATCCCCTTTGTGACTCATCATTTGAAACCATGGAATACGCTTGGGAATGAGTTGGCATTTGTTACATTAATAGAATTTGAGCCTCACAAAGTGAAATATATCATTCAATCCCATCGAAATTGCATGACCTTATGCTACTATATGTATTCCACAAAAGGTTGAGACACCTCATGATGGCAATGTGGACATATACAAGCAGGTGGAGGAATCGATGAATCAAGCTCGATCCCAAATATGCCTCGGCTTTGAGTAATATGTTGCAACCGTGTCCGATCCTTGAATGAGGGAATTTATCTCCTCGTGTAGAGAAAAAATCTTTACACCATGTTGCTTATTGAAGCATTCTTTGAGATCTCTCCGGACATCTTCAACATACTCGGTAGTAAACTAAGCTATTAAATAGCTAAGCGAGACCGAGTTTAATAACCAAGCATGGACAAGTGCATTTCACTTCTTCCATTGAGCAAAATCGGACGAGTCTAAAGTCGGTCTAACACATCCGCCATTAATGAATCCATCCTTGCTCTTTGCTTCTAATGATATAACCATCGTCTTGCTCCGAGTACTATAATCTTCCTTTCCTCGAAGTAAATGGGTAACAAGAATGAAATTGGGTATATCATATGGATGAAGGAATAAAGGATCGTTAAGATCCTTGTGTGCAACAGAGTGTGAGATTAGGAATTACGCTAGGGTTTGTGTTTTGATTTTCCATGATAAAAGTAATTTTCTCAAAAAAATTTAGAAACGAGAGAAATGTCGGTAATCATAAAGTAAATGTGCGAGTTCCTAAAGAATACTTCACCAAGGAAAAATAAAATCACTCAAGAATCATGGTATAAGAGTTCAAGATTCCGAACAAAATCAAAAATTTTCTCGAGAGCCAAACGAAATAAGATAGGCTCGATACCATGTTAAGAAGAGTAAAAAACAGAGAGGGAAAACAATTCAAATACCGAATGAATTTATTATATTGTCTCTCTTGATAGTTTACAAGTTGATATATTTATATGCCAAAAGATAACACGTGTAAGTCATTTCAATAATTGACTAACAACCTTTATTAACAAACTAACTAATCAACTAATAATCTTAATATCAAATCATTCTTGCACCGCATACTAGTCTTACCAATTAGAGATTCTACACATGCCTAAAGTATAAAATCTTCTCTGGGAAACCACTTTAAAAAACCAAGGATTCATTAACCATCGATCCTTCCAAATGCAAATATTGCATCCATTACCAATCCTCAAATCGACTAGCTTCAATAGCCTTATGTCCCTTATTTATAATCCTTTAAGAAAAAGATAATTTATACCTAAGATTTGTAATTAACAATGATGCTTGATGGAAATATTCTTTTTCAAACCCAAACAAAAAATAAAAAAAGGATTTGCCAAAATATGTTATAATATGAAGAAAAAGGGGAGGAGAGAACAAAGAGAAAGGTTTGAGGCTTTTTGAGATTTTTGGTGTTTTTGAATTGAGGCATCAATTTTAGCTATGAAATTGTAAATTTTTCATGGATTGTGCTATCGTTTCGAGGAGTGAAAGAGGAAGATGAAGTGGAAGGAAAGAGAAAACTTAATTTTTTCTTTTCTCTAAAAATATTTTTTTAATTTTTTTGCCACATGGAAAATGGATCCGACTTGGCATGCCATGTGGCTTTTTGTTTTCCATCCGTTAGTTATAACAAAAAATCGACTAGATAACGATCGGAGGGCCACATTAAGAAAAGTTGAAGAGTATAGGGAGGGGTTGAATAAAAAAATACAGAGCCACATTAAGAAAATGTCAAGAGTGGAGGGACATTTGATACGATTAAACTTAAAAATAAAATAAAAAAAAGAGAAAAAAAGAAAAAGAACAAATGAAAAATATAGAAGATACTAGGTGAAAATTAACAAAGTCTCATATCTAATAAAGACTAATGTTAACCTAAATCGATCTCATCTTAGTAATCAAGAAGTTCTCTAACATATCGACTATGTCAAGACATAAACTAGATCGATGTTGAGCTAACAAGATGCTCGAAAGAGGGGTCCGATAATCGATTCAATATGATGTCATAAATAAAAATAAAAAATTAATTTATCTTAGGAAATAAAATTTGAAATTTTGACTTAAGATCAATCTAGGAAAAAGTAAAAATTTTTAGGAGATAAACTTTAGATTTAAACTAGATGTGATACCTTTTTAGGAAGGGGTGCCTTTGGAAAGATAACGCATTTGGGTGAATGATATCTTTCTAAAGACATAACCAACTCTTTACCCAATAATCTCTAAACTAGTATCCATTTTAGGTTCTTAGTTTCTTTAATACCGAGTGGTGAATCCAAACTCAATAATAACTTATATTTCCAAATAAAAAAATTTTCAACAAAAAAAAATCATAAATAAATTTTTGGGAGTCCTATGAATGTTAAGTAGCGATAGAATGACAATTACACTAGGGATTTAGAGTTAGGTCATCGGTTCAGCTTCTAGTCATTTATCTCCTTTATTTATTTTTTACCGTTCATTTTCCAAGTCACTCATTCATTTTAATTCTTGTATATATTTTGAATCTTTTAATTTTTGTATTTTTTTTTAATTTCTATACATAATTTGTGAACTAGGTTGGATGTTTTAGTTTGAACTACCGCACATACCACAAAGAAAGCTTGTAGAAGCTTTGGACTCGAGTTAGATCCTTTTAGGATTTAAGAAGAGAGATTTGGAGGCAAGTATTTAAATATAATGTTTTGACTTTTAATGAATCAACTTGAACATCTTCATGAATGAAAGCACTTTCATGAAAACATCTCTACATTTCTTTCAAATAATTTGTATTATATTTAAGAGAATCTTTTAAGTTCACAAGTTTAATCCATAAGAACCAAATGTCTATTCAATGATCTTTCTCAAAAAATGATGAAAATTTCAAGACCAATTTATAAATTATAATGTAAACATCAAAAGACAAGCCTTTGAACATAAATAGTGATTGTGCAAAAAGAGATATAAATGCATGATCTTAATCAGTACTTAAGGGTATCTCATGACCTAATCTAAATGGTAATCTGTAAAATTAAAAACACTTAGGGACTAAGCCAAGTATCTAACCATTTAGACCAAATTTGATAATTGGTCAAAAAATGACATCATAAAATTGATTGA